ATTCTCATAGAAAAAATTATGATATCAATTTTAAATGAATTTATCCGTTGCTTTACAGATACATCGTGGGGTTAATCACTCCCCGAAATTGTGTCACCAATTCGTCTGAAATTCCCGAAATCTTTCCGAAGTCCTTCCGAAATCTTTCCGAAATCCCCGAAATCCTTCCGAAATCTCTCCGATATCCGCCGAAATCCCTCCGAAATCTCTCAGAAATCTTTCCGCAGACCCAAAAATCCCTCGCAATTGGCCCAAAATTTATAAATCGGTCAACGCGGCCGTTTTTCAGTTTTTACTAATACTTACAAGATAAGTAATAGTCTAAAATCAGATTAAAATATTTGCGAAATCACCTGATATTCTCCAAAATCACCCGAAATCCTTCAAAATCACCCGAAATCCTTCGGAATCACCCGAAATCTCCCGAAATCCTTCGAAATCACCCGAAATCCTTCGAAGTCGCTCTAAATGTGAAATCAAGGTCACAGTGAATAATCCCTCGAAATCTTTCCGAAATCCTACCGAAATCCTCCGAAATCACCCGAAACCCCTCAAAATCGCTCTAAATCCGAAATCTTGTCACATTTTTTCCTTAGTGATTAATTCCTTGGGATACATTGTATATCTACGCACTTTTTCCTTTTTTGCCCAGTATATTCGTTGCTAGTTTGAATACAAAGAAGTTGATAGAATTTTTGATTGCACAACTTTTTCCCCATTTGGTCCACCCTGTATCTTCAATGCATAAAAATCATGTAAAATTTTTATTAAACTAGGTACAGGGTGTTTCCTTATATTTTGACCCCTACCTACAGCTTTAGCTATACGAGGTGGAAATAAACTTTAAGTATAAAAGTTGCAGGGTTTTATGTTTATTATCTCTTGCGAATGTCAAAACGAGCAAATGACAGGTGCCAACTGTCACAATGACAAATCTTATGTTATGTTCAACTGTCAGTACTGAATTTACTGGACGCCGTTCCGTTATTATTTTCAGTACACTGGATCCAGTCGATTCAGTACTGAGTGACCACAAGAGTACGCTGTTAAAATCGGAACCGCAAATGACAGTAAATCCAGTACTGGCAGTTGATATAGGAACATAGCCAAACACTTGCATTTTTCAAATGGAACACCCTGCAAAAACAGCTGAACCAAAATATCAACATATGTGGTACCTATATTTGGAATCAGAAGAAAAAATCTATTTTTCTAGGAAAAAATATACAGGGTATTCCATTTGAAAAATGCAATTGTTTCTCATTGTGACAGTTAACACCTGTCATTCGCCCATTTTGACATTCGTAGAAGATAATAGACATAAAATCCTACAACTTTCATATTTAAAGTTTTTTTCCACCTCGTATAGCTAAAGCTGTAGGTAGGGGTCAAAATAAGGGTTGTCGTTATGTATGGAAACGGTCTGATATTTCAGAACCGGCTTGAAAATAATTTACAATATTTCCTACCTGGGGGTTTTTGGGAATGCCCGATTCAATGATGATATTTACAATGTTGCCAAGTTTACCGTTTCTTGAATACCGTATGTAATTTGATTTTTTTAGATGCATGCCCCTCTTTATTTTTATTGTAATTAATTCAGCGTCCCAACATTACTAAAACCCCTAAATGCCAAAACTCCATTTTACTTGGTTTATGAAATATGGTAACACAGATTTTAAAATGTATGGAAACAGTCCCGTATTTCAGAAAAGACTTTAGCAAAATGTACAATATTCCCTACTTGAGGGTTTTTGGGAATACTCGATTCAATGGTGGTATTTGCAATGTTGCCAAGTTTACCGTTTATAAGATGTCGTATGTAACTTGATTTTTTTTTTAATGAATGCCCTTATGGGTAATTATTGACTGAAATACGAGACTGTTTCCATACATTTCAACAAAAAATCTGTGTTGCCATATTTGAAAAACCAAATAAAATGGAGTTTTGGCGTTTGGGGGTTTTAGTAATGTTGGGACGCTGAATTAATTACAATAAAAATAAAGAGGGGCATCCATTTAAAAAAATTAAGTTACATAAGACATCTTATAAACGGTAAACTTGGCAATATTGCAAATACCACCATTAAATCGGACATTCCCAAAAACCCTCAGGTAGGAAATATTATAATTTTTTTTCAACCAGATTCTGAAATATCAGACCGTTTCCATACATAACGACAACCCTGTATAAGGAAAGGGAAACACCTTGTACCTTTAAAAACTTCTAAAAAATACTTCACGCAATTAGAGGGACTTCAAACGTTCAGGATTGATTGAGTAGGGTTTTTTGTCAAAGGAAACAAATTATGAGTGAATCTCAGGCTCAGAAATGAAATTATGATTTTTTTCTCACTTAAATGCAAAAAAACTTGTGAAATTTCTATTGAATCACATTTGAAAACTTCTGGAAAATACTTCAAGCAATCGAGGGACTTCAAACTTTCAGGATTGATTGAGTAGGGTTTTTTCGTCAAACGAAACAAATTATGAGTGAATCTCAGGCTCAGAAATGGAATTATAAATTTTTTCTCACTTAAATGCAAAAAAAAACTGGTAAAATTTTTATTAAATCACATTTGAAAACTTTAGAAAAATACTTCAAGCAATCAGAGGGATTTCAAACTTTCAGGATTTACTAAGTAGGGTCTTTTTATCGAAGAAACCAAATTACGTGTGAATCAGAAATGGAATTATGATTTATTTCTCAATAATATACATAAAAACCCTGTAAATTTTCTATTAAATCCCCTTTGAAAACCTCTGAAAGATTCTTCAAGCAATCAGAGGGGCTTCAAACTTTCAGAATTTATTGAGTTGGGTCTTTTTATTAAACAAACCAAATTGCGAATGAATCTGAGACTTAGAAATGGAATTATGATTTTTTTCTCAATTAAATGTACAAAAATCTTGTAAAATTTCTATTAAATCACATTTGAAAACTTCTGAAAAATACTTCAAGCAATCAGAGGGACGTCAAACTTTCGGGATTCGTTGAGTAGGGTCTTTTTATCAAACAAACTAAATTACGAGTGAATCTGAGACTAAAAAATAGAATTATGAATTTTTCTTAATTAAATGTATAAAAATCTCAAATAAATCAATTTTCAAAGCTTCTGAAAAATATTTCAAGCAATCAGAGGGACTTCAAACTTTCAGGATTTATTGAGTAGGGTATTTTCATCAAATGAGATAAATTTCGAGTGGATCTCAGGCTCAGAAATGAAATTTGAATGCATAAAAATCTTATGAAATTTCTATTAAATCACCTTGAAAGCTTGTAAATTGTAAAAAATACTTCAAGCAATCAGAGGAACCTCAAACTTTCAGAATTTATTAAATAGGGTATTTTCATGAAATAATACAAATCAAAAGTGAATCTGATGCTTAGAAATAGAATTACATATTTTTTTCAACCCAGATACTAAAAAAATTAAATAATTCCCGTCATATCACTTTGAAAATTCCTGAAAAATACTTCAAGTAATCACAAATACTTCAAGTTATTTCAGGGTACATTAATTAAGGTATTTTCATCAAATAATATAAATCAGCAGTGAATCTGAGGCTCAGAAATAGAATAATGAATGATTTTCCACCCTGAAACTAAAAAGAATTGATACTTAAATCTTGTTGAATTACAACTTTGAAAGTTTCTGAAAAGCACTCAGAGCTACTTTAAATTCTCAGGCTTCAATAATCATGATATTTTTATTTAAAAATCTTTATACTAAAATCAGAAAATGTTTGCAGAAATGCATTCTTCACTAAATTTGACTTCTTCTTTGATCTCTAGATCCACTGACTGGTACAATTTTATGGAAATTGCAGCAAAACCTCTTTGCACTGGAAATGGATTTCTGGTTCAAGAATAGAGTTGGAACACAAAACTAACACTATATTTTGAATCAAAAGTTGCTGATATTGAGACGTGGAAAAGATCAGAGCAGCTCTAAATACGGAAAGCATAGTAAAACCGAGAACAACTTGGATCAGAATTATCTATAGATAAACAACATTGGATCAGAAACATCCTTATAAGAAATGTTGATGAAAAAAAATTCTATGAGTTTCTTAAACAAAATGAGAGCTTTACTTTGGGTTTCCAATGGTTGGTTGTTAAGTAGATTTTGCAATTATTACTTCTGAACTCAGAACTCTTGGAATTACAAAATTTGTCACTAGAATTATTCACTATACACAACATAAAACGACAACGTCTAAGAATAAGGGGGCATAAGAGTGCACCGGATTTTCCTGCAGGAGTGTTGTTATCCTCTGGAATCACTGACCCGCGCTTCGAAAGCCGTCGTGCTGCGTCACGGACGTCGGGACGTCGCACTTGGAAAAGGTTGCATCTTACCGAAGTTGTTTTGTTCCTGCAGGAGAAACAGGCGCGCGCAAACAAAAAGCGGCCTTCGGCTGGAGTCCAGAAAATTTTATTTTGTTCTTATTTAGAGGGAAAAGTTACTTTTTGGTGTTAATGAACGCTTGGGGAAGGGAAAATGGAACAGCTGATGAACTCAGAAATAGTTCATAGACTAAATCTAATTAATCTAGATTCTATAGATGTAAATTATTATCATTATTTGATAATAATTCATTGAGCTGCCGTCAAGATTAATGCGGTTTTTGTGTCATTAAAACTGTTTATACGGTTAATTCTTTATCAATTAGGTGTTACTCTTTAATTATTATTTGTTTTTGTTATTAGTCTTCTTATCATTATGTTGGTCAGTTATAATAATTATTGCCCGCGGATGAATTATTCATCTTGTTTTTATTTAAATTTTTTCGGCAGTGGACCGGTTAATTATGGTGTGAACTTGAAAAAGTCAATGTTAATTGCGGGAAAAAGTTGCAATAATCTATTTTTGGTAGATTTGATGATGCATCAAGGTTATAAGAATTATTATTGAAAGAAGATGAATTTTAAATTGAAGCTCATATGAAGAAGTCTTTCATAAAGAATTCCAAAGTAAGGGTATGTAGATTCCTACCTTGTGATATACAGTACATAATCTGTCTTGGTACTTTGAGTCCGGCAGCCAGGCAAGCTGCAAACGAAGCCGAAAAGTTGATGGCCATGATGACGATGCGTTGGTGGTTCCTTAAAAAAATTTACGAAACCAAAAAAAAAATCAAAAAAACCCAAAAAAAAATAAAAATTTTGGCTCGAATTTGTGACCGCGATCACAAATCACAAAATCACTAGTCACATCGTTATTGCGCGGCCCCCGGAGAGGAGTTTCCGTACGCCCGCCGATCACTATACCAAAGTTCGATTTGGCGCGAAGTGTTTTGAGCCTGCTAGGCTCCCGTCGACGAACGACGACGCGTTGCACCGTCGCGAACGAGTTGCATACAATTTTCGAACCTTATTCAGAAGAACCATCGGCGAACCGACCCGACGTCGGCGCTACGACGCTGCCGCGGCGTCCCCGAAAAAAAAAAACCGCGGGGGGGAAAAACGGGGGGCGGCCGGGAGCAGGGCAGGAACGAGTGGGGAACACGGCGTCGCTCTGTTGCCAGTAGCTCTATTTTCGGTTTTTAGGGATACAATTGAGATTTTTAGAGCTTCTGCCAATGAATTGTGCGAACCACCAACTTAGAGTCTTCAACATCTCTCAAAAAAACTTCTTCCTTATCAATCTTTTTTTTTTCTTGTTAATGGATAGAATGGAAGATCTAGGTTTTGCCATAACATCGCTTACATCTGTTTTGAAAGTTTCTCTGCCTGCTTTATAGTCAGTTTCTCTAGTTGCTTTGGACTTTGGACTGCACCTCCAGATAATTTACTCCACTTCCTCAGCGTACCATTGTCACATTGTCAAGAGCATGGCAAAGGGTTTCCGATCCATTTTGTGACTGTAAAACCATCAAACATTGCATAATCTTCAGTTCCTTCTAAGTAGTATCTAGATATGCTTCACATGCTGATTTATATGTAGTTGCCTGGAAAGCAAGTAAATTGCTTTTGGAATTATCTGCATTCATCTACTCGTTATCAGGATAAATAGCACGGTCTAAGTGCACTTGGATAGTCTAAGTACACTTGGATGAGACCTTGAACCAAGCAAGTTAACAGCCAGTCTACTTTCTTGGATGTTAGAACCTATCCAACTAGACTTGACACGATCCAAGTAACATTTAAGTGAGACGTGCGCAATGTCCAAGTACACTTAGATCGTGTCAACCTGGCTTTAATCCAAGTCCAGTTGGATAGGTTCTTACATCCAAGTAAATAAACTGGCTGCGAACCTACTTGGTAGTTGTCCAACTGCACATGGACCGTATCAACCTGGCTTCAAGCTCAATATATTCCGTAATCTTTAGTTCCTTCTATGCTCTGTTCCCTTTTGGTTGAGAGCACAGAACTTCTTTGTGAATTGACACACACACAAATAAAGTGTTGATAACATGGTGAGCATTGTAGATATAATAATAAACAGAAGCATTAACATAGTTTCGACAATAATATTACACCGACGGGCTTGAATACAATATATATACAGACAGGACCAGACTACTAAACACATAGGCTTCAATGAAACCCAGTTGTCTGATACTCATTTAACTGGCGGGATCATTAAGTTGGATCATTGTATAATTCAGCTTCGACAGCACTGCCTTGATTCGTCTAAACCGAGTACAAACTAAACGAATTATTCGTCTTATTACTGCCTATGAATCTAGTAGGTTGGACGTTGATCCGGTCTGTATATGCCTACACACACACACTGCCTTACAACACACAAGTGCAAATTCATATTGAATTGTCATAAGGATCAATCACCCAACATATAATATCCGTTCACAACCACAGGTACAGGTACAATTTATCACCTTTCAATGCTATTTGATAGGGAAAGGTGATAAATTTACCGGCACCTGTGGACATAGGATTGTGAACAGGATATAGTCATCTAGGGTCTTATGGCCACCTATGATGATCGCTTTACAGTGGCGGATTTAGGGGGGGGCGCGGGGGGCGCGCGCCCCCCCCTATTGAGCGACGCAACAACGAAATTTTTAACGAAAACACAAACATATTCATCAAGCATTATCCAACATGAAATTTCATATGGTTTTTGCTATTTTTCCAAATTTTTAATACTTTTAAATACGTTTGGCAGCAGCGAGCTGGGAGCGAATCGACTGCGGATGACGTAAATCCGCACCAACTTTGAATTTAATCTATAATTGAAAATTCCAATTAAATTTAATCTCCGATTAAATTAAATGTTGATGTCAAATGATAGTTTATGAAAATCTAAGATAGGAATGTGAAATCGGTTTTCCTCTGAAATTAACCGTTCAGGTTTTACAGCCTGTCAAAATTGCAAAAAGTCAATGTTCAACTGTCAATATTTCCAAAACAGTTGAACTTAGGTATAGGGTATATCACATGAAATCTGCTCAGAATTTTACGTAGAATCCAAATATGCAATCACATACAGGGTGTTTTATTTGAAAAAATGAAAGTTGGTCTAGATAGGAAACAAACCAGAAGTGACACAGGCAATACGTTTAAGTAGAATTGTGGGAAATATTAGGGACATAAAGCTACTTGAAATAATTCATCGGTATCGGTAGCCGTAACGCAACTAGATACGTTGACAAGCGAAAAGGCTGTTAAAGCGCTCCCTGTTCCGGTAAACGTAAACGCATTTCATAACCTAGACATTTTTGTCTCAAAACTTCGGCGTTTTTATATCTAATCTTAAAATTGTTATTTTTTTTGCGATAGAGAAGCACTAAACACACAAGAAACTCAAGAAAGTATAAACTAAACAAATTAAATCAACCCGGAAGAAAAGGGAGGTTATATTCATTTGAAATTTGACACATGCGTCAGGAATGTCAAGATACGTTACCGATACGGATACCGCGAGAGGGCCGTAACGTTACGTTGTACGTACGGTATCTCGGCCTCCGTATCGCTTCTGCACATGCGCAGTACGATACCGATACGGATACCGAGCAAAAAATACGGAAGCTTTATGTCCCTAATTTACTGAGCAACTTTCATTAAGGTCACTTTTTCGTATATGAGGTAATTAGAAAGTTACAGGTATTATGCGCGACTTTTTTGCCACTCTGTATATTTAAGTCGTTTTTTTATTATTTCTTATCTGAGCCTGAGGCCCTGATGGATCGCCCCCCCCTAGAAGGAATCCTAAATCCGCCGCTGTCGCTTTATGGTTTTCATGGCCTTTTTTGACTTTCCCTGTGCTATTAGGGAAAAGGAAATAGAAACAGCGTATCATCATCATCATAAGCAGCCCAGTCGCGTCTACTCCTAAACCTTCCTTCCATTTTCCAGTGAAAGTTTCAGCTTTCTATTTATAATAGAAAAAAAGTTATGACCTTTCAAAGTTTTCCAAAATCTAAATCATAAGGTAACTAGGTTAAAAACGATGAAATTTCAAATTTTTCTTGTCGAGATTTTGTCTCCTCATGGTCAATCAACATACCCCAAGCTCCATACACTAAATTATTCTCAGATTTGAAGCCGAAATCTATGAAAAAAGGCACTCAGAAAAATTGAAAAATTGATAAATCACCCCAAATTGCTTAACACGATTTTATCTCAGGAACTATAAGCGCAAATGAGATGAAATTTTCAGGGATTGTAGTCCCTTGATTGGGATAAAATTCAGTGAAAGTTTCAGCTTTCTATCTATAATAGAAAAAAAGTTATGTCCTTTCAAAGTTTTCCAAAATCTAAATCATAAGGTATGTACCTTCTTACTAAAACGATGCAATTTCAATTTTTTTTTGTCGAGATTTTGTATCCTAATGGTCAATCAACATACCCCAAACTCCATACACTGAATTATTCTCAGATTTGAAGCCGAAATCTATGAAAAGAGGCACTCAGAAAAATTGAAAAATTGATAAATCACCCCAAATTGCTTAACACGATTTTATCTCAGGAACTATAAGCGCAAATGAGATGAAATTTTCAGGGATTGTAGTCCTTTGATTGGGATAAAATTCAGTGAAAGTTTCAGCTTTCTATCTATAATAGAAAAAAAGTTATGTCCTTTCAAAGTTTTCCAAAATCTAAATCATAAGGTAGGTACCTTCTTACTAAAACGATGAAATTTCAATTTTTTTTTTGTCGAGATTTTGTATCCTAATGGTCAATCAACATACCCCAAACTCCATACACTGAATTATTCTCAGATTTGAAGCCGAAATCTATGAAAAGAGGCACTCAGAAAAATTGAAAAATTGATAAATCACCCCAAATTGCTTAACACGATTTTATCTCAGGAACTATAAGTGCAATTGAGCTGAAATTTCCAGGGATTGTAGTCGCTTGAATGGGATAAAATTCAGTGAAAGTTTCAGTTTTCTATCTATAATAGAAAAAAAATTATGAGCTTCCAAAGTTTTCCAAAATCTAAATCACCTTCTTACTAAAACGTTGAAATTTCAATTTTTTTTTTGTCGAGATTTTGTATTCTAATGGTCAAACAACATATCCCAAACTCCATACACTAAATTATTCTCACCTTTGAAGCTGAAATCTATGAAAAAAGGCACTCAGAAAAATTGAAAAATTGATAAACCACCCCAAATTGCTTATCACGATTTTATCTTAGGAACTTTAAGTGCAAATGAGCTGAAATTTTGAGGGATTGTAGTCCCTTGATTGGGATAAAATTCAGTGAAAGTTTCAGCTTTCTATCTGTGATAGAAAAAAAGTTATATTGTTGTGGAATTATCGAAAAAGAATCATGAAATATTCTGTAATCTTCTGAGTAAAAATCTACTGGGTTATTCTGAAGCTACATATAATCTAGATGTATTCACAAATGGATACGAAATACAAAGTGGCTCAGATGAAACCTTTGTTTCCTGAATGTCACAACTTTCAAAAGCGGTTGGAGATGGGCGACCGCGAAACAGGACAATACTTGACTAACATTCACAACTTCATTTAGCAGTAGTTAAAACGAAATTATCTTGAAACTAAAAAATGTAATGTTAACGAAAAAAACATGCGTTTTCTTTGCGCCACCCTGTAGAATCATGCAATATTCTGCGTAATCTTCAGATCCTTCTGAGTATCTAAATATTCATTTTACCGCATTATACTTTGATCACTATGGCTTCTGATGATGTAAATGTATGGATTACTGAACTAGCAGTCCTCAAAACGAGTAGACTGCTGCGCAGACTTTCACTCATTGCTTTATAATAATATCTAATAAATTCTACTCAAGTTGGTAAACATCAAACCGTGTAGTGTAGTGTAATGGACTCCTCTAGAACTCCTGAACTCTGATGTAGACGGTTTTACAAATGGATTACTATGTAAGTAGCTCAAAAAACGAGTAGATCCATTCTTTCCAAAACTTTGCGTTTCAAAACTGAGCGAGTTCCACAGCCATCTACTCTTTATCATGATAAATAATACCTAATAATTTCAGAGTTCCACTCATTACTTTCCTCTCCTTACTAAATTTCAATAACAATGAAAAATTCCAGATGCTTTGTTCAGAGCTCTTATAATGAAAATATCTTATCGAACCATGTCTACTAGAATATCATATGAGCAATTTGCCAATCATAGAACTCCATCAGTTTATCAACTTATGAAAAATAGAAGGATATTCAAAATTACCCTTCACATGTCCGTAGAAAGATTTGGAGTTGTTTTTATAGGATGTCAGCATAGGAAATTATTTCTATCTAAAATATGGCAAAACCCTTTCTGTCCATCGTACACTTTATTGGCTGGGTTCGGCAATTGCATCTGCGAGCATGATGAACAAAATTTGACAGATATCACGTGATTTGACTCGTGAAAAAAGATCAGTTCTTTATCTATAGAGCTATAAGGCAAGTTCGTTTTTCCTCCTCGAGCTAAAAAGTGACACTGTTGGCAAAAGCCCATGGGATCTTGGTCAATTACCTTCAAATACACAATGATCCAAAAGTACCTACACAAAAATACAGGGCCGCCAATTAATTTTTGAAGCTATAACTTCCGGTCAAATCCGAATTTGTCAGACTTACATATACGTCAACGTCAAAAGATGACATTTGTTGAATCTGTCCTGTTTCGAAATTCAATGTGATTGTAAACAGATATTTATTTTATACTATATCGTAAAACACACCTTTACGAACGTAATCTGGAAAATGAACTTTTACAGTACTAGTCCGATAAAATGAGGTTTTGCAGACTAGTGCAGTAAAATTTGCTTTTCTTGGACTCAGTTTCAGACTGAAACGTCAAATTCATAAATTACGTCAATAGACTGAACCCTTCAGGTTCTAAGTGACTCGTCAATTTGCATCTGCCACTCTGCCCTAGTACAGAAGTCACCGGTTCATGGAAGTTGGAAGATTCAATGATTTGCTGAGAGTTCTATCAGATTGTTATCAAATTAATACTCCCTCTTCAATTTGAACTTTAGACAGCCCTTAGTGTATCAAAAATGTTGCTGGATGATCAAAAGACTAAAGAGATATTTAGATTTTCATTTTTCAACAAGTCTCTACTTATTTTATCAGCATAACCGCAGCTCTTCTTCTACACTAATGCCATCACTGTAAGAAATCCATTATCTATTGCTTGCTCTCTCTCTCCAATGGCACCATGGTGTCCAATATCTTCGGACTCTACACGTTTCAGCCCAAGGTTTCTCTTCTTCATACTCTGCTGTTGTGTCCTGAGCGTCCTGTGCCAGTTCATCTTCCTTTCTTTTTCCACACATTCGACTATTAAGTGGTAGTCTCCCTTTTGGCATTCTGATCACATGACCCACCCATCAAGTCTTTGCAGCCTGATTCAGAATTTTCGTCCCTATATATTTTTCGAAGGATTTTTCTTTCAAAAATCTTCAACCTGTTATCAGTAATGATTCATGTTTGTAAATTCTGGATGGTTCTGGAGAAAAATACTTAAATACTTCTGACAAACAGAAGAGTCTTCTTTGACGGTTGTATTCTGTTTTGTATTTCGTCTCTCTCGTTTTCCGATGTGTTTATTCCAACACACATTGAATGGGGGAAGAAGAAGACGTGACAGCAGACTGAGAAAAAGCTGGAGAATTCGAGTAGATGAGAAACAAAGCCTTGAAGGAGATAGTTGTAGATTGAGAATCAGACGTAGAACGTTGTAGCCTGATAACTATGAAAAATAGTCAAAACCCTAAAACTTTTCCCCAAAAATCTTTTGGTTTACTGTACGAAAAGTGCAAGGTGCACCACCACACCGTCTGCGGTCCCTCTCCTACCCGGCGGCCGGTGGAGGAGCAACCCCCCTCAGTCGCCGACATCGTTATCGATTCGAGTGCAGCAACCCTGCGCCGTACGAAATGCACGTGCATCACCGAAAATTTCGGCGACGGGGGTTGGAGGAAGGGAATGCACCGGCCCCCAGCGTTGCCAGAGCGGGAAAATTTTGTTGACCGCGTCTCTCGATCGTGGTTTGTTTTATTTGAGAAGAAAGTTTTTGAACTTGACTTGTTGGACTAAACTGGGGATGAGGGTCTTTGGGATAGAAAATATAATAACTACGATCCTTGTAGGGGAAAAAGACAGTAATGCATTATTTATTGCAAAATAACTAATTTCAATAATTGATGACACGAATCAACTTCTAATAGACGCTAAAACGACAAGAACTCGTGTATCTGGTTCAAGATTAAGCCACACGAATTGACAACGTAAGTACTTAAGACTTTATGAGCTTGACGTAAAGTCTCTAGGGTACCATTGCAAGAATAATCATTTATATGCGCATAAGCGTACTAAGATTGATTTTGTAAATCAGAAATCGTGGTTTAAAAGTTAAACTCAAAAACTTTCAACAAAGAAAAGATCGAGGGCGAAAGTAAAGAAATAAAAATAGCTTATAAAACTCTTTCGAATCCGAAGCAGAAACTAGGGAAGTTTTCTCAAACTTTCCGTCCGCGCGCCGAGTTTTCATTCACTTTAACAATTAAAAAAATAAATAAACCTCTGACAAAATCTAAATACAACGTAAGTGGCACTCGTGCCCTAGTTTCGAAAGAGAGGACCCCTTCTCTGGCGGAATTCAACCAACCCCCTACGGAGAGTGGGTTAATGAAAACGCGCGTGAGGTCCTGAAGTGTGTCAAGGGTGCGTGCGTGCATAAGAAATTACACCGTCCCCTTTTCGCTATAGGGGGAATTTTTGTTATCAATGGAGGCATTTGCAAGTGGGAGATAATCTGTTGATTATGGAGATTTTTGGTTCATTGTAGACTTTTGTAAAATGGAGAGCGGGAAGAAATTGAAGCAGTAGGAAGTAAAAGGAAGAACACGCAGATATCTTACTTGACGTTGTCTACCAGATTGTCATATTATGACCAAACTACCAATCATAAATTTCCATCAGTTACATGAAGAAAAGAAGGATATATGACTCACATCATGATGTTTCTTCATCTTAATCAACGAAGACAGATAAAACTGATCTATATTCACTCATGTTAGAGACTGTTGGAGGTTTGTCAGGGATTCAGTTGTATTTGTGAAATGTCAGACGGAAATTGATGAAAGAGCCTCTTCTTTCCATCATATACAACATTGTGTTGGTAACAGATCCTAAACCTCAACACTTTTTGACATCTTCCCAGACCCTATGTCTATAGACTCATTACCAGGTTTGGCAAACATGGATTTGGGGCAGACACATGTATACATTGGGTATACAAGGGTTGCGTGAGGGAATTAGGCAGAGTGGAGAGATCTCTTTTCTATAAAAGGGACTTAACTGAATCCAAAGACTTGCATCTATGTCGACAGACGGATCGAGTCCACTCTAAATGCTAACTTCTGCTTTACAAACCTACTAGCGGTAAAGCTATGCCTCAAAGACAGACTGGGACAGAACAGATCTATAGCCCTATCTGCCCTCAACAGATGATACCCCAACATGGAAGTTCATCGATTTGGTGGAGTACTGTAACTCACTGGGCGGATGCGATGCCAACGGACATTACATGATGTGAAGCAGTACCAACACGAACCGGAGAGGGCTCAGTCTTCTGGAGTACCTTCACACCATGGATTTAGAAATCCTGAACCGTGGCAGCGCACCGACCTTTGTCATTTCGCATAGACAAGAGGTGATAGACTTGACATTGGGCTCATTGTCCATGGCAAGTGTCTGACGAACCGTCCCTATCGGATTACAGACGCATTCTATTCCACTTGGACCTTGATCACAAGGCTGGACCCAGTAAGTTGAGGAACCCCCGGAACATGAACTGGGATCAATACGTTGAGATTCTAAGAGCTAAGGAGAGTTTTCCACGCCATGCCGCAGCGCAAGGCAATTGGAGGAAGCTGTCAGCTTCGGGCTTATCAAGGAAAGACGAAAATCCCTTGGTAGAATTCCGACCTCGACAAGGCGCGTAAAGAAACCCGCAGGCTCTTTAACCATCACCCTCTGAAACGTAGCTGGAGCGTTTTTTAGGTCAAACGGCATCCGGACATACTCGTAATGACCATTTTCGACATTGAAATCAGATTTATATAGTGAAAACCACTTGCCAGATTTAATGTCGTGAAGTATTAACATCTACCAAGTTTGTCCAAAATGTCTGTTATGTTTAGAATTGGGTATTTATCGTTGATAATTTTCTCGTTTACTTTCCTATAGTCCACTACTATCCGCCATTTTATTTTTTTGACGTCTGGTTTTTTTTGGAAGTATCCATATCGGAGTAGATCAAACTGACTGGCTTAGTCTGATAATTCATTGATCGAACATTGAACATATGGTGTTTGATCTGGTTTGTAAAGGTCAGACAGGGACATGTCTGGATGGATAAATGATTTCTTTGCAGCGGTATTTATAAGAAGCCTTTAAAGTGGATTGGTGATGGATATGTATGGTGGGCTTCAGTGTATTGGTGGTACTGGTACGCTTGCTGCTGGTAGTCATTTTGTTGTTGTTCTACATCATAGTAATCATTGTCTATTTCTGGATTGGTGTATCCATAGTAATAGTTATCCTTATTCCAGGGCCATTTGGGTAGCGGAGGCAAGGGCGGCAACATATTCTACGTAATCTTGAGAGATTTCGGTAAAGAGTTTTCCATCAAAGCTATGTGGAGACTGGCCCGATTGACTTCCAGCTATTTGATGAACTCAGGATTTTCTATCGGTATTGGAGATGTGACTCCCGGCGAAGAATTAGTTAAACGTAAAAATGCCTTGTTAACCGATGGTTATCAGAAATGTCAAGAATACATTAGGCAAACGGCTCAAGGTAAGCTGCAATGTCAACCAGGTTGTAGCGCAGAAGAAACCCTAGAAGCCATAATTTTAAAAGAACTGTCGGTTATAAGAGAACGCGCTGATCAGGCTTGTGTGGCTGAATTGCATTCGACCAATAGTCACTTGTCAGGTTCCAAAGGATCGTTTATTAATGTTTCTCAAATGATTGCTTGCGTAGGACAGCAAGCTTTGAATGGAAAAAGAGTGCCTAATGGATTCGACAATAGATCTTTACCGCATCATTGTAAGTATACAATTTTTTTGTTATTTTGCCAACACATACAATATTTAGTAAGCCTAGATGAAAATTATTATATCATTGAATTCTATTCTGTAATACATTGTCCATTACCCTTTGGAAAGTTGCTGGTGCGTTCTTAAATCCAAAAGGGCATTCTGTTAAATTCGTAATGTCTATTTTCAACAATAAATAATTGTGGTTTTTGGTATCGAATTTTGTGGTTTTCAATACAAAGCGTGCGAGGTCACTTCTTATGGGATATCTGACCGCGGTCAAATTTTAGTTTGTTATACCTTTCTGATCAATAACTACAACTACCTTGCGGGGTCCTTTGAACTAAAAATACTATTAATATACAACAATCAAATATATTTTCGTGAGCCAAAACCCCAGAAGCTGAAGGAGTGCGGAGCCGCCTATCAGTCAACTAGTAATTTACTAATTTAGACCGTATCTAAATCACTAGTTGACTGATAGGCTGCTCCGCACTCTGAACGAGGAAGGTATCTACACTCAAAGGTGCGCAGACGATCTTCTCATCATTGTGGCTGGTAGGGCAGTACCATTAAAGAGCTCTTAACATAATAGAGATATAGTGTAAATATCATGATCTTTTGGTAAATCTAGACAAGACCGAGGTAGTACCGTTGACAAAGCGAAGAAATGTGGATCTGGAAGGGCTTACGCTTTTTGGATCGAGACTTGTTCCATCCGGTGTGGTCAAATATCTAGGAGTCATCATTGGCCTAGAAATATTACGTTAACAGGGTCGTCCAGAGAGCCACTGCTAGCTTTTGAGCTTGTAGAAGATCCATCGGACACACCTGGGACTTACAACCCCATATAGTCTACTGGCAACAATTATTGACAGCTTTTTGAAGTTTGCACAAGCTATTCCAATTATTAGCAAAACTTCAATTAAGATAACATCAAAACTAATAAGATATTTCAGTGACCATGGAATTCCACAAAAAATTACTTCTGATAAAGAAACTGAATTTAAAAATGCAATTGTAATAGATTTATGTACTTTACATAAAATCGAATTCCATCCTCGAAATCCCAATTCGAATAGTTCTATTGAGAGATTACATTCTACCTTGAGAGAAAGTTTAACAAGCTTGCAATTACAAAGCCCTAATAAAAACATTAATGACCTAATGGTAATTGCAATCTTGAACTATAATAACAGCATACATAGTGTTAAGATTATACACCTTTCCATAAATAATTAAAGGCGATTTGAATTATTCAATATTTATTGAAAGCAGTGATAAGGCCACTGATCAAGTACGGCGGCTTAGTTTGCTGGAACACGCTTAGCAAATCCACGTACAGGGTAAAGCTGGACAAGCTCCTTAGCCTTTAGAACACATCGGACTCAGTAATGAGACGAAATGTAGGTTCTGCAGCGAAGTTGATGAAACTACCAATCATATAGTCTGCTAATGTGACGCCCTCGTCAGTCTGAGGAAATAAAGCATGTCTGGCCTGAATGGGTCTGCACCTTTCTTAACAGTTGCGGGCTCCTGGGGTAAGACAGGGCTGCACCAAGGGGGGAATAGCACAATCAGTCAATCAACCATGTGTGAATGGCTTGCTGAGAACTGAACACTTCTCCATCTTCATAGAGCTATCACAAAAGCCAAATTGTTGCTCATCAGTTCGCTACCAAGAATTTGAATTAAAGAATCAATAATCATCTAGAGTTCATTGTTCCTTATCTTCAAGCTTCTGCAAATGAATCTTTCTCAATCCATGGACATTAGGGACGTATGTTGGAATCATCTCAAAACCTAAGCTTCAACATGCTTCAATGACAACCGCCATCACAAAAATGGACTGTACACCTTCCAATTTCAGAGATACACTGATAAACATGCTCATCCTCCTCTGTTTGACAAAGTGTTGTGTGAACTTTTTTTTAAGAGGGTTGTTATAGGGTGCGCCACTGTTTCGAGGCGCACGCGATTTCGGACCGATTGCATCGGTGCATCTCGGCGACCGCCACCGCGGACGGCGTTCAATCGAATATCGGCACGGAGGACAGGGTCGGAGCCCTGAATTGTCAAACTTAAATAGAATCGTGATAGTATGAGAAAGAGAATGGTAATGAGTGTGGAGTAAATAGAGAAGGAAACTGAACTACTAACATAGAAGAAGAGTTTTGGAAAGATCAATGTCAATGGGAGAAGCTGCTAATGATACAGATTGAGTTATAGAAGAAGAAATGGATTGTTTGGAGGAAAAAAATCTCAAAATAGCAAAGATTACATTTTTAACTGCGGAAACCATTTAAAAATGATCCTTACATTTTCATAGGTCACGATAGGTCATTTTCCTTTAAAGAAGATTCTTAACTTAAAAGTCACTGAAGAAAATTTTCAGATGAAGGAAATGTTATTGGAGATACCGAATCTACAATTATTAGGAAAAAATCACTAGTCTCTCATTCACTAGAATTTCCCAGAAACCATTAAGAGCCGGTAATAATGAAAAAATGTCAATAGGTACTTATAAGTATTTCTCACTCAAAACTAATAATGGAGACGTGTGCTAAAAATAACGAGAATCTTTTCATTTTCCTCTTGGCTTTCTTTCCTTTTATTCGCATTTCTGCATGAAGCAGCCCAGGCAGGCTAAACAGCTGTTAATAATTCAGCATCAAAGAGAGAGAAAGGGTGGGTGCTCAACAGGATAGGGGTTGATGCAAGTATCATTGTCCGATTTTGCATTAAACATAAAGGCCCTTGGAAAAATGAGCTCAGAGAGAGAAAAATTTTCAATGAACTTGTAATACCTTGATACAAAACTTGATGCCTTTCTGAGCGTTCTGATCGGTTAGGGCTGACTTTATTTGTTTTATGGAACGTGAAAATAATGAACAAAAGGATAAGTTGTCGTGTGTGTTCTTTTTTTCGATTTATTCATGTCTGCCACAAAAAGTGCAGGATTTTTTTGTTTGAAGGGTTGAAGGAGAACCAATTACTCATCCCTAGGGTTTAAATTTTTTGAGGGATTGAAATCGTCAAGGGTTTTTTTTATTTTTTAGAATCTAGTTCAAGCGTTTTTGCTTCCAAAGCCGGACAAAGAACTCCTAAAGAGTCTACATTTTCTTTGTCCCTCTGGCTCGGTTCTCACTTGTCATTTGGGAAAGTTATTTATGTGAAAAGTTGCGAACTGCAAGAATGCGTGTCTGCACCGGGGTTTATTTTTGGACCTTCAGGGTTACTGAACACGACGTCGATGGCCCTGGATAATCATCATTAGAAATTTTAAAACCTCAAAATTATCACGGTTTCTATTTAATTTAAAAGTTGCGTGTCGCCGCCTAACGAAATTAGCTATAAATTCCTAAAAAGAATGTTCTTTATTACGGTCTCTCAAGTAGGCCTATTACAACTTTACCGCAAACTTTTTCATCTCGGCGTCTTTTACGACCGTTTCCCGAGTAATTTTTTCATTATTAATTTATTATTCAGCTCGTTAATACCTTCGGATGGATAATTACTATTGGTTTTGATAGAGGAAAACCGAAGAGGACAAACAAGCGAAAGCCAGTTTTGCATTAGCCAGCGACCTTCTCAAGGGTTTCGAGTTGCCCCCCTGGTTCAGTCTACGGCCGGTTCGGGCCCCTCGCTGTCCCGCGCAGCCCCAGACATTCTCCACGATTTACTGGCAGGATAGGATTTAGGAACTTCATGGTATAGTTTCCAGAGTTTCTTCACTAGATTTCCAACAACTTCAATGTAGCAAAGTTGTTTTATAATTTTTTGATCTTTGAAAATGGTTACATTGAAGTTGTAACTAGTATTTTATACCCCAGCTAGAGTCAGTAAAGTTGAATGTTTTATGAGTGGGTGATTTTGATAGACGCTGAATTAAAAATGTATTTTCCTGAATTATTCCATTATCACCAGCAACCAGCGTGTGTAACATCATACTGCCAGACAAAATTACGGTCCTCGTCTTGTCGCTATGAAAGACGACTTTTTGTGTCTTCCATTTCTATTATTAAACCCTTTTTCATTTTCAAGATGTTCGGTTTCAAATTTAAAGTCATATGGAAATTTGATAGTTGAACATTTTCAGGATGTTGATCAAATTAAGGCCGCATTTATAAGAGTCCGCGCAAATCAAAACTCGGGCAATTTGATTGATCTGCGTGCATATGCATTTTGAATTGCGGTCGCACTAGTTGCAAACCTAACGGTGCAAAATGATCTGCCAAAGGTATTATTACCGGCGATATCGCATAATATGTGATTTGGCCAGCAGAGAGCCAGCGGAGGCTGACCATTAGAAAATGCGCCCCGGGACACTCTCTGCCTGGGTAATTTCGCTTCTCGTTCGAGCTTCTGATATCGTTAATCGGCCTCTTCTTAAAGGTACTCGCGGTTTGGTAACTGTACCTTCTATAATCGAGGAAAATTTAACTCCTTCTTTTTACTTCTTGCTTTAGGTGAATTGTTATTGTATCTCCTTTAAGCTAATAACTATCAGTTGCGAGAATTATGAAATTTTTTTAACGAATTGCTCCAATTTCGAGTGAGAATCCTGCTGCGTGATGCAGTTTCGAACTGATCCCCTGGGGGCTACGCCATCGATCGTATCCGGACTCTTTGGCGCCAACATATTTCTCTCCTATTCAGAAAAATTATGTGTAACTGTTAAGGTAGTTTTTCTTCTTCTTCTTCCTGTTTACCAATGACCCCTTGTCGTCAAACAACAGTCAGTCAAAATCCTATCACTTGCGTCTCGGGGTGGGTTACCCCACTTGCCAATAGTTTAGGTTAGGAGAGGAATTCGGAAACGCCAGGAAAATAGGCGTAAATAGAATATGTTCCTGAAAAAATGAACATATAACAACCAATCACATTTCTACCATACAACTGTAACCATGAACCACTGCTTATTTTCAGATTTTTATATCAAACTTCTTGATACATAACCATCTCTGCTCTCCTGCTGGTTGGATTTGCAAAAATTTCTTCCATCTGGTATCGGTCCTCCTACCATCTTGTTCAATCTTGAATACAACCAATCTGTCGACCTCTGTTCAGCTGACAGTTCAAGAGCACATGATTGATATCACCCATTTCACCACATTTACACGCTGTCCAAGTTTGTATTTGTGTTTAGGTATAAGGCAATGACGTGATTCTGCAAAAGACACTAGTTTTTTGTCTGTCAGTCCTTTCAATTTTTGCACACCACGGTGTTCTTTGGGATTTCTTCGTTAATTTGTAGTATTGACTTAAATTATTTCTACCTTTATTGGTAAATTCCATAGCCCATTGCCTCCATGTCTCCTTTCCTTTTCTACTTTGAATAAATCATCATAGTATATTGTTCTGTTGATAGCATTACTTGCCTCTCGACCTCTTCCAACCAGTCTATCTTCTTCTTCATTTCCTGTTATGCCTACAGTATTTTGATTTCCTTTCCTTCATCCTGTATGTCTAATATTTTCTTCCTCGTTCTCAATGTAATTCTATCAGTCCCTCTGTTGATGCCATCTCTGACAATTTTCAAAATAGCACTTTCAGAATCCGATAATAAAACAGCTTTTCCTGTGTCAATCTTTAACGTATTGAAGGCCGTATATATGACTAACACCTCTGCTGAACAAATGTTGATTAGATCCTGCCATTTCCCTATTATTGAGATCTTCCTTGTGTTGTTGTATACTCCAAATCCGCAATGTGTTGATATTGGCTTTGTATATATTTTTTCATGGTCCGGATATTCCTCCAACTCCTGTATCAAGAGTTGGCGATCTGGACTGAAATTTTGAATATTCGAATCAACCCAGTCTATTTTCCACAGGGTTGTCATATCCTGCGA